TTCATTTGGAACAACAAACACTCACGAATAGCTAAAGCAATTTTGGGGAAAAAGACAATGGGAGGCATCACTCTCCCCAACCTCAAACTCTACTAAAAAGCGGTAACAATGAAAACAGCATGGCACTGGAACAAAGGCAGAGCCACAGACCAATGGAACAGGGTGAAATATCCCTACACACAATCCCAAATGTATGAACATCTAATCTTTGATAAGGGAGCAATAAATGTGAAATGGAACAAGGAAAGCCTCTTCAACAAATGGTGCTGGCCTAACTGCCACATGCAAAAAAATGGGCATAGACCTCGACTTAACACCATGCACAAAAGTCGGATCAAAATGGATTAAAGATCTCATCATCAGACCAGAATCCATAAGGTACGTTGAAGACAAGGTCTGCAAAACCCCCCACGATATTGAGGCTAATGCTATCTTCAAAGATGACATGCCACTGACAAACCAAGTGGAAACAGAGATAAACAAGTGGGGCTATATTAAACTAAGAAGCTTCTACACCACAAAAGATTCAGTAACCAAAATACAAAGGCAATCAACAGAATGGAAAAGGATATTCACCCAGTATCCATCCAATAAGGGGTTGATATCAAGGATATACAAAACACTGATTGAACTCTACAAGAAGAAAACATCCAATCCCATCAAAAAATGGGGTGATGGAATGGACAGAAACTTTGTCAAAGAAGAAATCCGAATGGCAAAAAGGCACATGAGAAAATGCTCTGCATCACTAATCATCAGGTAAATGCAGATCAGAACAACAATGAGATACCATCTCACACCACAGAGACTGGCCCACATCCAAAAGAGCAAAAGCAACCACTGTTGGCATAGATGCGGGGAGAAAGGGACTCTCCTTCACTGTTTGTGGGAATGCCAACTGGTTCAACCTTTTTGGAAAACACTATGGACGATTCTCAAAAAATTAGAAATTGAACTCCTATTTGACCCAGCAATACCACTCCTGGGAATATATCTCAGAAAGGCAAAAAAGTATAGTCGAAATGACATCTGCACTTCTATGTTCGTTGTTGCACTGTTCACAATAGCCAAAATCTGGAAAAAACCCAAAGCCCGAGAATAAATGACTGGTTAAACAACCTTTGGTATATCTACACAAAGGAATACTATGCAGCATTTAGAATAGATGAAATTTGCATACAAGTGGTACTACATGGAAAGTATCATGCTAAGTCAAATGAGCAAGAAAGAGAGGGGCAGACATAGAAAGACTGCGCTCATCTAGGGAGTAAAAAGTAACAGAATGTGAGACGAACACCCAAGAATAGTTGAGAGAAATACCAGTAGGTCTGCTGCACGGCTTGGAAGCTGGCAGCACATGCTGGTGGAGAAGGCATTTAGATAGAGAAGGGAATACCAAGTGTTAGGAGGACTTGCTCAGGATGCGAGATGCATGCTGAAAGTATTCTATAGACTGGACATGATGGCCACTCAGTGCCTCTATTGCAAACTACAACACCTAAAAGAAAGAGAGAGCAAAAGCGATTGCCTTGCCACAGAGGTGGTGTGGGGTAGGGTGGGGGTGGGGGGCTGGGAGGTTGAGAGTGCTACTGGCTTTATTGGTGGTGGAGAATGGGCTCTGGTGGAGGCATGGGTCCTTATCATTGCATAACGGAAACCCAAGCATGAACGTTTGTAAGCCTTCAACTGTACATCATGGTGTTTTACTAATTAAAAAATAAATAAATAAAAATAAAAATAAAAATGACACTGTGGTCAGAGCAGCAGTACGCTTGCCTTACTTGGGGCTGACCCAAATTTAATCCCAGCACTGTATTGGCTTCCTGAACAGCACCAGAAATGATCCCTGAGCTTAGAGACGAAGTAATCTCTGAATACTGCCAGGTGTGCTGCCTAACTCCCACCCCTCCCTGCAAACCCCCACAAGATTGTAAGATATATATTATTTAAAATCAATTATGAAAATCTTATGACAGTAAAAGAATAGTAAGAACAGAAAATGGACAAAAATAAGTATAATAGCATATTTTTCTTCAGAGACAATGTAACAGGAGAGAATGCAACAGTGTCTTTATATTATTTAAAGAAACATATAGTTGAATAAATCTTGAAATTGTTATGCAGCAAAAAATATCTTTTAAATAAGAGGAAAATAAACAAAAAATTTGGAGATCACAAAACCTGAAATAATCATCACCAGCAGACTTAAACTTCAGTTAATTTTTTATTAGATGGTAAACTGATGTTAGATGACATTAAAAGAATTTCTTTTAATCCATATATCTGTTGTTGAATATTCAGGTTATCACCATATCCTGGCTAGTAAGTACTGCAATGAACATAGGAGTGCATATATGTACTTTCTAGTGTTTTTGTGTTTGGGAGTATACTCCAAGAAGCAGAATTGTGAGTCATAAAGTGTTTTATTCTTTAAACAATAATTAATTTCCTAGCTCTTTGTCCTAAAAAATGATCAATTATCCTAACATGTGTGAAAAGTATTTTTGTAATATCATTTATGTTATTATATTATTATGCATAAAACATAAAACATTAGTTGAAAAAAAGCTAAATATACTTGGATTTATTGAAACAAATTGTATATAGTTTTCAATAAAGTGTTATTCAAAATTTTAATGAGATATATTACAATTATGACATCTTCATATCCAGTTGTAGTTAAAAACAACAGTACTACATATTTTTCAATGACAAAAGTTTCAATGCCATGTATAATCACTCTTCTTATCCTTTTCATAAAGGGATGTTACACCTAGAATTACTCAGAGGCTATTCCTAACTCTGTGCTCAAAAATGGTCTTCTGCAGTTTCTAGGGAACTGTATGTGGTGCCAGAGATTTGAAATGGGGTTGGTGGGAAGCAAAACAATGCATTAACCCCTAAACTGGCCCTCCAGCCCCAATAATTACCCTTTGTTAATAAACAAAAAAATTAAGAAATGTAAAACTGTGATAAATATAGATATGCTCAGTATAAAAAAACAGCTAAAAATAGGAAATTGGAAATTATTCACAGTGATTACCTCAGGCTAGTAGAATTTCCAAACACCTTTAAAAATTTATTTACTATTGCAAGAAGAATGCGTCAATTTTATAATAAAATTTAAAGACTTATCAAGATATTTCTAATGGCAAAAAATTATTTCTTGGGCTGGAGCGATAGCACAGCTGGTAGGGCGTTTGCCTTGCATGCGGCTGACCCGAATTCAATTCCCAGCATTCCATATGGTCCCCTGAGCATCGCCAGGAGTAATTCCTGAGTGCAGAGCCAGGAGTAATCCCTGTACATTGCTGGGTGTGACCCAAAAAGCAAAGAAAAAAATTCTTAATAAGATACTATTTCTCTTTGGAATATTTTTTTTCTTTTATCAGGGCGGATGATCCTCCATAGTAGGCATCCTCCATAGTAGGCAGGGGTCATACCCACCAACTGGTCCCCTGGCGCCGTGTAATCCCATCAACGGCCTAGATCCAGAGACTATAAAAGCCAGCTCCTGGAAGAGAACAGCACAGCACAGAGTCTCCTGTCCCTGTGCCTGGCTGTCCTCGCCAGGGCCCCTTGGAGGGGAACGGGTTGAGTTTCCTTCCCCACCCCGACCAGGGCTCTGGCAGCCGAAGACCTCCAGAACCAGTCACCACCACGCTGAGACCACTCTCCACACGCATGAAGGTACGGGCAGAGGAACAAAGGTATGCGGGTCCCAGGGCTGAGATCTCCAAGCCTGCTCAGATCGGAGTTGGGCATCCTCCACCCAGATCCTCCATATTCCAGTAGGCAGGGGTCACACCCACCAACTGGCGCTGTTTGATCCCATCAACGCCTGAGACCCAGAGACTATAAAACCCAGCTCCTGGAAGTGTGCGGCCACAACATCTTATTATCTCATTCTTTGGACAAATTGGCAGGTTACTGAATCTAACCTGCCAACACAGCAGAGTCTGGCAAACTCCCCTTGGCGTACCCAATATGCCAAATACCAGTAACAATGATGGGTCTCATTCTCCTAACCCTTAAAGAGCCTTGAATATGGCACTTTAAAAAAAATCTCAGGGCTAGGGTGAAGGAGACACTACTGGGGCCTGCTTGAGACAATCAACGAACAACAGGATGGTCGTGATCGTGAGGGGGGCAAGCTCCCAAGAAGTGCTTAGGGGAATCAGGAAGCCACTTAGCTGATACTTAGTCAGCCAAGCCTGGTGACACTATGTTCAGGTTCTATAATCTGGTATTGTTCAATTCAGCAGTCCCAGACATGTACCCTGACATCTAATTGTACTCCAGTTCCTGGGGATATACACCCAGAAATATATTTTAATATTTCCCATGTTTTCCAATCAAATTTATTTTTAATTACAGGTGCTTCATGTTGGTGATAAGAGAGATGCATTTCTGTAGATATCTGTTGATATCTAATCCACTAGACCCAACACTACTGAAATCACGAATACCAAACTACAATAATTAAACTAAAAAACGAATCTGTCAAGTATACAGGTTGAGATGTGGGAGGAAACCTGGGGTTCAGGAGAAGGCATCAGGTCACAGGATGTGGTACTGTAGGTGGGGACGCTGTATTCCTGAAAACCTATTATAGACAACTTTGTAAATAATGATGATTAAAATTTAAAATTTTCAAAAAGATGAAAAATCGTAGAAGTATTGATTTTTAGACAAAAATAAAATAAACAAAAAATAAAAATGAAAAAAGGAAGAAAAAAGTGTTGACTTTTCCTTTTCCTTTATATTTACTTTATATATTTATATATTTACTTTATATATAAATATATATACACTTATATATATTTTATATATATATTTACTTTATTTCTCCATTTCACTAACTTGAGTATTACAATTACAATCAAGCACAGACTCTTATTATTATTTTCAATTTGCAAACTTAATTTTATTTTACATTCTGTACATAGGTATTTTTTTAAAATCCAAATAAGTAATATTTATGGACTTACATTTGATAAAGAGGAAACTCTGGATATGAAATAGCCACTATCCCTCCAACAAAATGATCAGTTAATCGCCCTGGCAAATCATGCTATCATGCAGGATCTTGTTTCCTTTTACACGCTGTCCAGAAGTGAGTCATTGAGCTAGAACACAGTTTACCTAATTTATAGGCTCCCTCTTGGCACGAATCAATCCGAAAAGTCTGACAGGATCATCATGAATGTTTTCTTCAATTTTCTGGCTTTCTGGTGGGAAATTGCCAACCAAAGTGGCCTGAGAAATACAAGCATCCATTTCATGTAACAGCTTATCTTCATTCTTGTCTGGCAAATGTGTATTTGGTTTCCTAGGCTTTCTTCGTTGCCCCTCTTTGCTGTGATCTAGTGAGGCATAGAACATCTCTGGATCACTTATTACCTAAAAAAGAAAGGCATGTTAATTTTTTATTGTTAATGGATATTATGATTTTGTTGGCTTCAGGGAATTCTAATGCCTATGACAAACAAGCTATTTGTTTTCTCATCTTCTACTAGCTTGTTTGTAAAAAAATAAAAGTGTCAGCATAGAGTGAAATGAAATAGTTCGAGATGTTTTAGTAAAAAATGAATCTTAGGTGAAATTTTTGTATACTTCTTTTTTCATAATTGAAATATGCCTGAATATTTATATGAATCAGCCTCTCATCCTAGAATTTTGCTTCTGTGGGTTCTTGTCCTTTTCTGCCCTTGCCCAGGAAAAATTTGATTCTTTAAAGAGGAAATAAGCATGATTAGAAAGTAACAAATCACAAGGTTTCTTCTACGTATGTTTAACAATTGGCCAATTATCCACAAAAATCCCCAGTTTATTTATTTATTTTTTTTACAAAAATGTAAAAATATTTAGAAGAGTAAAGGTAACTAAATCCTATGATTAAGAAGAGCAAAGGTAACTGTCTATTTATGGATAGACATGGTATCTGGCAGGTATAAAACTTTCTGCGTTTTCTTTTAATTCTTTCTTGCCTGCCTGTCAGATCTCCTCTGATCAAATTGATCTATCTACTAGGGTATATCTGATTTTAGACAGGCATCTTTTTTTTAATTTCAATTTTATTTTCCCCTTACAATTTATGTGAACACTGTGGTTTATAGAGTTGTTCATGATGATTTGTTACAGACATTCGACATTCCACCACCAATCCCACCACCATTTCACCTTCCCACCACCATTATTTCCAGTTCTCCCAACCACCCCTTAAACCTGCACCAGATTGGATGGGATGTAATATAGAAGTCAACCAATCTCAATTAACAAAATATAAATACAGAATGCCTAACTTCTAATAATATCTCAGTAGTGTATCGTACAAAGACTAATGACTCCATGGTGAGATATAACAATCTTCACTACCTTTCTTCTAAGGAGACATATTTTCATCATTCTTTTAGCAAATTATTTATAATAAGCAATATAAAATAACTTATTGAGGAACTGCTATGTGTGTCTATAGCATCTTAAATGTTTATTTGCACATGAACATAAGTAGTGTCTGGTGGTCCCCTCTGACGTGTAGAGCTGAGTAAATATTAGAACAAGAAAGACAGAAGAATAAAGAAAGTTGGAGAAGCAATGGCATGAAGCCAAGACCTTGAATATGGTATTGGAAAGCCTCCAACTGACTTCCAGTTCTGTTTCACACTGGTCTTGAAATCTCAGGCAATATTTATAAACTATTTTTGCTTTATTTTTCTTGCTTCTAACAAGAGTACTTATCTGACAGCGCATTTGCCTTGCATGCGGCCGACCTGGCTGACCTGAGTTCGATTCCTCTGCCCCTCTTGGAGAGCCCGGCAAGCTACTGAGAGTATCTCACCCACACAGCAAAGTCTGGCAAGCTATCCATAACGTATTCGATATGCCAAACACTAAAACAACAAAGTCTCACCATTACTGGGCCCGCTTGAGCAAATCAATGAACAACAGGAGGACAGTGCTACTATATACTATACAGAATATAGATGGCAGCTATACCCAAATATACTTGTTATTTTAAAAGTAACAAGTGGTGTGTATTAACTATTAGAAATGGTAGGGTAAAACTTTAGGATATCGATTGAATAAAACAATAATATTTGATCGACGTTTCCCTTAAAAGAAGATCAAAATTAATCTGTGGAAAAGGAAATAAGCAAGAAACATTAAAAGCTCTTGATATTTCAGAAGTATCATCCTCTTGGCATTCATTTTATTTTAAGTGTCTTGAGTGTTCCATAAGCAGAAGAAATGGCCCTATTTGGAACCTATCCTAGTCTGACATTTACTCCCCAAATAATCATTTCTGGAAATTTCAATTGTTGCCTAGCTGGTATCCTTGCTTAGGGCTCTTCTTTCTGGAAGTTAGCTTATAAATTGTCTTCAAATTATTTTCTCAAGGCACAACATTTATATTTTACCATAGTCTTCAAAATTTTAGTTGATAAAGATCTGAGTTTTATATTTTGACTTCCTGGCTTCCCATATTTATATACCATCTTTTCATTTGATTCCACTACTTGCCTACATAAGTTCTGTATTCCAGCAAAACTCGTAATTCACTGATTTCCACACAATCCTACTACTTTTATCTGTATTGCTTCTGTGTAGTCAAAACAGATATCAGTGACGCTCAAAAGAAAGTGAATTCCACTTGATTCCGCAATGGTGTGGCTATCCTTTTTTGCATAACCTCTTTTATTGTATCAATTCCCCATTTTCCATGGAAAATTTCTCTCCTCTCTATGGTTCTGCAGAGCCTGTCAACTACAATTCTGCACCCAATGTCCAGCACAGAACTAAGCAGGTGACGTAGGGTAAAACAAGTCACATGATCAATTCCTGTGGTTCCCAACCCTAGAACGGGCATGCAATAACAGCAAAACTAATTCTATGGCATTTGGGGGGATTAATATACAGAAACAGATATTGTAACATTGTTTTTTCCTGGAATTGGGAAAAATCTGGGTCTACCAGTAGTTAAGCCAGACTCAATGGAAGAATCTTTTGGCAATAAAAGACAATTAACTTGATAATGAAGGGAAGACCTCTTATTTAGTCAAAACAAAACCTACCCTTACATCTCCCAGTTACAGAAGTCAGTAATTCACCTTTCATACTATTGTGGCTTGAATTAAATTTCTGCATTTATAACTGAAAGAATTCCAAATAAGTATGTTTGGTCATTAAATCAGCAACTTTATATCCAGTGCTGCAGAGTTCAAGGAATATTCATATTAAGAAATGAAAATACACTATATGTAAGTCATTTATGACTCCAGGAGAATGGCTTCAGTTGAGTTGCTAGGTGTAAAATATATAGCCAAATGTAAATGGATTCACATCTCTGGAAAGAAATAGAAACAGTAGAAAAAAGCAAGAGTTTAGGAATTTGTAAAACAAATTTGAAATAAAGCTTTGTTGAATTGCTTTATTTTGCTTTGCTTCATTTTTGTTTTGTTTCTGTTTGGGGAACATACCTGATGATGCAGCAGCAAAGCATGAGCTCTAGTCCTTTGAGCAGTTTCTCCAGCTCTGTTTGCATTTGGGGGGGGGGTTGTTTTTTGTTTGTTTTTTGGGGGAGGGACTGAGGCATATCTCGTGGTTCTCTGACATCACTCCTGGTGGTGTGATACGTGGGGATAGATATGTGGGGTCTGAGATCATATTTTGAGATAGCACTGTAGCACTGTCTTCCCGTTGTTCATCAATTTGCTTGAGAGGGCACCAGAAATGTCTCCATTGTGAGACTTGCTACTGTTTTTGGCATATTGAATACATCAAGGGGAGCTTGCCAGGCTTTGCCAGGTGAGTGGGATACTCTAGGTAGCTTGCCGGGCTCTCCGAGAGGGATGGAGAAATTGAACCCGGGTTGGCTGTGTGCAAAGCAAATGCCCTACACGCTGTGCTAATGGTTAAGAGTTTAAATAAGAATATTGACTTCAGAGAGGTGAGAATTTATTTCTGATATAGGACAAGAAGAAGAGATTGGTTAGAGATATTGAGATGAGAATAATATAAAGAAACTCATATTTGTGTCCCAAGGGACACAACCAAAACTCCTAGAATTGGGAGAAGTAATTTTTCAGAATATGAACATCTTATGGACTCATTTACTATAAAATTGCCTTACTAACTCTTTCTAACTAATGGTAGACTTATATACTGAAATTAGAACTTTTAAGCTATATACTTCACTTTCAAAGCTCAAGCAATCTGTATCTTTTAACAGCAAATTCTGTATGCATCAAGTTTTGTGCATAATATACCTTGTGCTTTTGTAATTAACCAAAGCAACAAAGTAATTACTGGACTAGCAAACTGGGTAGTACTTTTAATGATAAATGAAAATTTTAGTAAAATAGAATTGAGAAAATATAAAACCATTACTTCTCATCTATTTTATTTTTTAGATCTACTTAAAATTTGTAAAAAGACTATAATCAAAGATTAATTACAGGTCGTTCTCAGGCATCATTCCTGGTGTATGTGGACTAAATTTTTTAGAAGTACCTTTAACGATATAACATATAAGTATAAAATAGAAAATAGTTTTTTTGTTTTTTATTTTTTTTTGTTTGTTTTTTGCAGTACTGGGTACTAAACACAGGGGCCTCACACACACAAGGCAAGAGGCACTGTACCGCGAGTTATTTCCCTGACTTGAAATAGCAAATTTTTAAAGACATTCTAAAGTGTTGCTTAATTTCAACTTGAGTAAAAATCAAATGCATTTCAAATAAAGCTGGTCTGTACAATTTATGTGTATTAAACAGCCACTTCTATTTTGAATTCTCAGTTCTTTTATAGTTAAGTTATGATGATGCTAAATTTCAGAGAATGCAGTTATATTTTAACTAAATTTGATAGATTTAATCTTTATTACCATGGATTTAGCATATTTTATTATCACATGCAGATTTGAAGACTTTTATCTAAAAGTATGTTTTATAATTAACTGAACGTCATACGATGGATTTGTCCATCAGAGGGTGTACATTTTGCTTAAATTTCACTACCCATTAATTTCTTAATAAAAGTGTCAAGAACTCTGATTTCTTAGGACTTTCATATAAAGAAAAAGAGAAAAATTCTACCTTTTTGAGAAATTTCCAAGATGTGACCTCTCTTAGGTGAAGGAAAATGTTCTCTGTTAGGCAAGACTAAGCCTAGACTCTCCTCACTTAGTATGTGGCTGCTCTAGGGTAAGGTTTTTATCCTTGACAAGTTTCTGTCAAGTAGGCGTAATAATGTTGTTTCCCCTCATAGGAATCAAAGATAATAAGACGATAAAGCACATAATACGGGCCTGACACATCACAACTGTGAGGGAAATGCTGGCCCTATTACTATTTCTAGCAATTGGCAAGACAGCATGTGTTAGAAGAGGCAAGGTCCATAAGGACAAGGAAAAAATAGAGACTTTAACTGAAACTTTTAACATTTCAGGAGCATGTAGGCTGAACAAAGGTGTGTGTGTCAGGACACGGAACTTATTATGGAAGGAAATGGAAAAACTTTTTTTTCTGGTTTGTATGTCTGTCTCAGCTTTGTCCTGACTATCCCTCATATAAGCCGTGCATAATTTTTTTGCCATAAGACCACATCCTTAGAACTTATATCAGATCCACACACATTTGCCTTACAAAGTAGAGGTACAACTAATTTACCTTATGACTTATAACTGTCCTTATAACCTAGTGCTCCCTCCCTTTCTCTCCCTTCCCCCTGCCTTTCCTTCTTCTCTTGCACTCTTTTGCTCACTCTTTCGAACATCGAAATCTATTCAGCATTATGCATATGCCAATTTTTATATTTATCTCTGTGAAACATGTAAGATTCACCATGAAGGAAAAGAACTAATTGAACATTTTTGGACATTTAGGAATGAGACGCATTTTTCCCTTCAAAAATATTTTTGCCTTTGTATTTGCACACAATTTATACCTTTGAGTGTGGTTGAGGATTGTTTACTTGCCTTTGCTTGCATTTTAGACCTCAGTCTCCAGAGCTTACCACTGATTCAAACTTATCATTTAACATAGCACTGTTAGAAACTTAAAAAAATTTTAACAGTATCCATCAGAATACTCGTTTTTGTGTCCTTGCAACAGGATTCCCAGCTGTGACTTAGTTTGAATTTGACCTTGGATCTGAAGGGCACACTCACCTGTGCAGATGGGCTGGCCTCTTGTAGTTCATTCACGGATCTCTCTGGTCGGGCTTTCATTTGTTCATAGCAATTTTCATCCATTGTTTCTTGGGAAATTTGTAGTATAAAAATGAAAATACTGGCACAAAAAATACTTGACAGACAACATTAGCTGTTCATGTAAACCCCTAATCATCATATAATTCATCTTTATATGATCTGTGTGTGAAGGTAGGAAATAATGCAAGGAGGTACCAAAGCATAAGGTGTTATCTGCAGATCAGACAGTGGAGGAGTCTTTTATTCATAGAAATAATGGTAAGAAAGACAGAAGATTATTTGGGATAAGAACTGAAATCCTATTTTATACCATTGCATGACAGTCTTCATTCAAATTGTCAATGGAAATGATGGAAACCTCACAAGTTAAAAAGATTTTCTGTATTTTTTAAGATAAGATTGCAATGGAGAGTAGCATAAAACACAATGCAATTATATCGATGAATATAACTTAATTTTTACATGAGTAAGTTTTATTCAGAATATTTTAGACTTTTTTTTTTTTGCTTTTTGGGTCACACCCAGCGATGCCCAGGGGTTACTCCTGGCTCTGCACTCAGGAATTACTTCTGGTGGTGCTGGCGGTGCTGGTGAGACCATATGGGATACCGGGTATCGAACCTGGGTTGGCCGCATACAAGGCAAACACCTTACCTGCTTTACTGTTGCCTCTGGCCTCATATTTAAATTCTTGTTAGAAAAAGAGAATACAGATTACCATATGTATTCCATGTGACAGTCCCATTCAGCCAACCTATACAAAATTCTGGGACTGTAAATTCTGGTCCACAGTCTTAGAGTTTTTGAACAGTTTAACAACCTCCAGACCTGACCCAATCTCAAACTGTGGGGATTGTTCATACCTTTCTTCTTCCAAACACTCCTATTTAAAAGGGATAACAATAAGAGTAACTGATAGGATGAGTCTGAGAATCACATGGGAGGTTGATAACTAGAAGATTCTTAAGTCCTATCCTGGACATACAAATTCAGAGATTATCGAATAACACCTAGAGTCTGCATTCACCTAGATGCAGAAATTAAAGATAAGCTGGGCTTAAAGACACCAAAAATTAGAAATTAAGTTCTAGAATATTGTAGATGGGCGTCATTACTCTCCAAGTCAAATCAGAAAGGTAAATCACCCCCAACACCATCGTCTGCCACACATCTCCCACTGTGATAATCTCAGTTCTGTAGACTATATTTAACAGTACATTTCTGAAAATTAGTTTATGATTTCTCAAAGGAGAGTGATTATAGTGCACTTTAGAATAAATGGAAAGATAAATTCTTGAATTTTATAAAATTGTCACAGTGCTAAAGCCAGAGTAGTTGTACAGTGGGCAGGGTGCTTGAATTGTACATGGGTCTACCCAGATTTGGTCCTCTGCATCCCATATGTTCCCGTAAGTCTTGACAGGAGTGAGTCTTGAGCACAGAGCCAGGAGTAAGTCCTGTGCACCACTGTGTTTGGCCCGCAAACAAGCAAATATCATATTTATAATTTTAGAAACTTTGATATAGAGGATTTGATATATGACGATTTGCTTTCATATATGAGGATTCAAATTTAGTCTATTACTGGAAATTTCTGTGCTCAAGTCATCACCCCAAGTCTATTAAAAATGTCTTCAGGGTAAATGTGGGGTTCATTGCTAACATTATTCTCATGACTTTATCAACAGAATTCTAGAATTAGGTCATGGTTGTATGTTTTGAGGAATTTGAAGGTTATTTTTAGGGAGTGATTTAGATAAATGTTTTTCAACTGGGGGCCATATACTCCCACTGTAGGCCCCAGAATATTCTCAGAGGGCAAAGGTGAAAATCCAATAAGTGAGGCGGCCACAATATAAAGTTAGGGGGACAACCAGTAAGACGGGGGCTACAGGAAGGAAGCAAGGTCAAAAGGAAGCCATAGTTGGAAAAAAGGTTGAGAAACACTTGTTTAGATGATTCATGTAATCAATGTAAAAAGAACAGTACTTGCTACAAAAGAATAACAATCAAAAAATATGATCACTCAGTACTTTAGTTTATTTCTCCTCTAATTTTCCATCAGTCTAGACCTAGATTTTCTAATTTACAAAGGACAATTTTAAGTTAGAGAATCCAAAGAAAGCATTCATTGTTCCAATGAGTCACCGTAGACTTTTGAATACAGAGGACAAAGCAGTTTCTATGGACTATTTTCTGCTCTAGAAATAGCTTTATTTCGTATAATTCTGCTCATCAAAAGTCATTGTAATCAAGTCTTCCTGTGTTATTCTTAATACTAGAATGAAATTAAGAGACTGTAGAAAAACATAATGTTGATTTAAACAAAATGTTTTAATATAATTTATAATGGGAATCTTTGGAAATAAATAACATAATAAATATAGTTGTATTTATAACTACCATTGGAATATTGAAATATTGTAACAAATAACTAGCAACTTTAACTTCCTTGTAGAATATTCTGGTCAATTTTAATTTTGGAAAAATAGAACTTACCTGGGATCACACTATCTAAATTACCATAAATTGGTATGTCTTCAATATCATTCTCATCTTCCCTATAATAATAAAAAAATTATCTTTATAATTGACTTCATACATTACTTATGACAGATGCCCAACCAAATTCAATATTGAATAAATGATTGTATGCTCTTGTTCAGTCTTGACAAACCAAAGTACATGTTTATAAGTGAAGTGAGTGAGAGCATATTAGTACACATGAAGGCACCAATTAGATTCAAGTGCATGCACACAGTATTTTGTGCATGAAAGACCCAGACAACATCTTAAAAATTATTACTAGTGTTCTACACTTTGCATATGAGAACTCTACAATTAATATAAGTATATTTTCCCCTAATCTTTTGTCTAATAGCAATAATAACTACTAATTATAAAATCTTTGTGTCACTGTTCATCAGTCCTCAAGAAAACCCTACGAAGATCTAGCGGGACAGTACAGAGGTTGAGGTGGGTACATTGCATGGGATCACTCACGGTTCAATACCTGGCACCACATGGTCCCTCAAGTATTGCTGGTGCAGTCTGGAGGCCCCTCCAAATAACACCAGGTTTGACCCTGTTTCCTAAACACTCCAGGGGTGGACAATTAATACCTGGTTTTGTGAAGTTTGAGCAGTACCATCTCCTCAGACTCTTGGAGGATCTCCAGGATGAGCCTCTGGACCCTCTTGAAAGTACACACACACACATACACACACACACACACACACACACACACAAGCATACAGATACCTATGAGATTCATGGATATATTTTTAAATCCACATTGTTCAGATAAGGAATTTTCAATTCATCTAGGTAAGTTGTTCAAAGACATATGGATAGTAACTAGCAATACTAGGATTGTAATGCAAGACTGCTCTTAAACCCTGAATGCTATTTCCTCTGATGTTTCATTAATTTTTCTTACAGCCTCCTCAGAGTAATCCTATTAGGATTACCGAAGGCATCCGACAATTGACACTAGACAGTGGCGATGACCCTGGTGACCAGCTTGACAGTGGCAGGCTGAGAAGAGAGGCAGTGAGAGTGGCATTTCACAAAACAGTACCAACTGCTTTAACTTGAAAATTATACATCAATAAGAACTGGAGGGAATTGAATTAAGAGGGAAAAAAGAACTTTTATCTTAAGACATAACACTTACATTACTCCCCAGTCTTCCGACAGAACATACAGAATATGAAAATAATAACCAGGTATCTTCTAAAAGTAACAAATCAAATTTTATCTCTAAGAAATGGTTTGAAAAGTCCAGATGCTGGATTTTGCTTATCTGATAACAAATAAACTTACCCACCAACTTTTTTTTTAAACATTGGTAATTAATTCATATAGATTCGAATTAGAATGTAGCATAATCCCTGCTCTTGGGCTTTCTCTGGCTATGCATGCAGAAAATATAATAGCAAACAGTGAAGAATTTTTAATAAGACAATCCATCCATTTCCTAGCCTACAGATAGCAGATATAACCTGCAAAAGATAAATCATGTCCAAAACATGAACATCATTTTATTCGCGGTGAATGAAAATAAGATGTGATTTATAATGCAGTGCCCTGCGTCTACAGGCAGGTCTCAGATGATTAATCATGGCAAATAAACTATTATTCAGGAGCAGTTTCCTAACCAAAAAGTTAAAAAAATATTTTTTCACTTAGCAATGCCAACTAGCCCTAGTCTATTGAAAATATCTAATGAACTGTAGGCATCAATGCTTGGCATTATTTTGTGTATGGAAGATTAATTACTATTAAAATAGATTAATAAATGAACTCATATCCCAGAGATTGTTAAGCCTCTGAGATTTGGGTCTTTATCAGATTATCCATTGCTTTTAATTTGTTTGAAATGTTTCTCTAATTAATAAATACCTTTACTGACACTGCAAGTATTTAAGTATTAATTGCATCTTTTATTAGACTCAATATTTTTTATCCTCACTTGTATCACTGCCATTCTTTTAAAAGTTTTAAGTTATATTTTATTATTTTACTGCCAAGTCTTTTAAGAAAAGTAATTCAGGTATTATTTATGAATAAAATAAGTAAATTAAACAATTAAGCTATCATTACACACAAGTACTGGATTTCAATTTTCTTATTTCTTTTCAATTCCCAAAGACCACGCCATAAATTCACCATTCCTATCTATATCTAATTAAAGTTAAAGTAATTTATATAAAAGTATTTTAAGGAGCTATAAATTCATAAGATTAAGAAAAAATAAACTCAGGGATGTATCAGAAATTGGTTTTGGTATCACCTTGACTAGATTACTAAGTATGCATATATGTATATATATACATACATAAATAAATATATTTTCTTGATTGGTGTAAAATTGCTATTTAAAATAATGAGAGAGATTAAAATTACTTGTGAAATGAGTATAGATAGAGGAGAGATTCACTGGATGTGTTTAGATATTTATGGTTCAGCAAAGAAGGAGCCTCTGGCTAGGGAGGAGAAAATCCAAAGGAGTGGCCCAGAGTCCGGAGAAGCAGACGTCTCGAGAAAGAGAGTGCGGGGCCAGCGAGACAGGACAGTGGGTCAAGCACTTGCCTTGCATGTACCTAACCTGGTTTTGATCCCCTATAAGACAAATGGTCTCCCATGTACCATCAGGAGTGATCACTGGACAAAGTGCCCTGAGTAAGCCCTGAGTACCATCAGGTCCCCATGCCACTCCTCAAAACAAAACAAAACAAAACAAAAGGGTATCAAAGTGTCCAATGCTATAGCTGAGCAATGTGAAATGTGTCCATTTTGATAGTGGATTCCACTGAAAACCCTCAAAAACTGAGTTGGTGAATCACTGAGGACCAAAAACTGAAGAGTAGATTCAAGAAATTAAAAGAAAGATGAAGAGAAACCTGCATATGTGGGCAGATGTAAATTTAACTTTTAAGTTCTTCTGGAAAAGTTGCAGATCAATGAAGAGATGATTGTCAGGCAACTTGGTATAAATTTAGTCTGATATCTATTTAACAAGTATATATAATTTTTAAAATATATTTCACATTTTATGCATAATTTAGAAATAAGGCAGATTAATGGAATAGTGCCAAAAAATAAATGAAAGCTGTAATGATGGGGCAGGGAAGCAAAGCTGCCAAAGTGAAGAATTTATCAATATATGCTTAATGTGATTTTTTACTTTCTTTGGCTGGGTATGTGATAGGACATATGTATAGAAGTTTTTATACTGGAGTGAGATAACACAAAAGATAGCAGAAACTTGTCCAGGGGACGGATATCAATATAAATAAAATGTTATTTCTTTTTCTATTCTTTTACTTTTTAGTCAAGGTAACAATACTTTGCATATTTGTATTTTTATATTTTAGTGTTCAATGTTACCATACCACATCCACCACTGAAGTATCAATATCCCTCCATTAGCTAATCACAGGACCCCTTTCATCTTCCCCCACCCTGCCCCTTTTGAACTCTCAGTTTTGTCATTAGAATTTAGGAGTTGTTTTCATTGAACATTGTCTATTTCCTTGCTTTGTTTCGTTGTCCACCATATATATGTGACATCATCTGGTGTTTGTCTTTCTCCTTCTATCACAATTTACTTAACATGACAATCTCTGGTTGCATGTACGGTGTACACAAAGACAAGATTTTATCTTTTATTTTTACAACTGGTAGTGTGTTTGCCTTGCTTGAGGCCAACCCAGGTTCAATTATTCCGTCCCTCTCGGAGAGCCTGACAAGCTACCGAGAGTATCCTGCCTGCATGGCAGAGCCTGGCAAGCTCCCCGTGGCATATTCGATATGCCAAAAACAATAACAACAAGTCTCACAATGGAGACCTTACTGGTGCCCACTTGAGCAAATCAATGAACAATGGGACAACAGTGCAGGACAGTGCAGGACAGTGCATTTTTATGAATAGAATAAAAATGTGTATATAAACCACAATTTCTTTATCTACATATCTTTATCTAAACATCTGTTGCTGGGCACTTGAGTTGCATTCAAGTATTGGCCACGAGAGAGAGCATTGCAATGGACGTAGGCATATATGTACCTTTTCTAGTTAGTATTTTTGTGTTTTGGGATACATATCAAGAAGAAAAAATTGCTGCATCATATGGTAATTCTATTTTGAACTTTTTGAGACATCTCCAAACTGTTTTTAGAAGATGAAATAGTTTATATTCCAACCAACAATGAATGATTCAGTTTTATATATACTTGCAAGAACTGGTAGTTTCTAACCTTTTTAAATGTAGGTCATTGTCACTCCTATGAGGTGTTATCTCATTGTTATTTTGATATTTATTTTCCTGATAATTTCAGAGAGAGTCAGCATTTTTTAATTTGCCTTTTGACAATGTTTATGTCTTCTTAGAACAACGTTCCTTTAGCTCATTTCCCATTTTTTGGGAGGTGAGTTGGGGGGAGGGGGTGGGTAATTGGGTCACACTTGGCATTGCTCAAGATTTTTGCCTGGCTCTGAACTTAAAAGAATTACTTACTCCTGGTGGGGCTTGGGGGCCATATGAGATTCTGGGAATCAAATCTGGGTCCTCCACAAACATGGCAAATACCCTACTTGCTGTACTATTGTTCCAACCCCTTTTCTTCCCATTTTCTGATGAGACTGCCTGTTATTTTGTTGTGAGTTCTTTATACATCTTGAATAATAGCCCCTTAATAGATGTGCAAATATTTTTGCTTTCAGTAGAGTGTTTTCATTTTAGCATTTTTCACAGTTCAGAAACATTTTAACTTGAGGTAATTTTCCTTTATCTTTGCTTCTGTTTTGCTTTCCAATAGAGTTGAATCATTGAAAACACCTCTGAAGTCAATACATGGAAAGTTCTTTTGTAAAATTTTAAAAATAACTGGAACTTTTGAATGTACCTACAAGTTGACAGACAGGGCATGGGGAGTGGGGGGAGAGTAAGGGTTTGGATGGGGAAGGAATCTGGAAATACTGGTGGAGGGAAATTGACACTGATGGATATATTAGTGTTGAATTATTGTTGCTTAAAACCCAACTATCAGTAACTTT